TTAAAAGTAGTTCTTGTCTTTCGATGTTTTACTATTTATTTTGCACTCTAAGACATCGTTTTATCTGATTATTCGTTATAAGCCATTAATTCCTTCCAGGTGTCCCATTTGGAGGTTATGTCCGTTTGTACATGCAACTTTCATATTTAAGGTCATTCAACCTATTTTTCTTAAATTAATTTCTTTCTTTTTCAGGATATTTGCTCACATTCTACCGAAACTGGGAAAAATATCGAGAACCTCATGTAATTCAATACATCATAAATGTAATTAATCAAAAATAATAATTTTCAGAATAGCTTGTGCTCTATATGTAATTTAGGGTAGACAATTAATTCATGCGCATTGTACTTAAATCGAGGTGCTTTCACAAAGTTACTGCGAGAATACCAACATTAAAAAATAAAAAGTAAAAGTCACATTAGAAAATACTTATAACACGAAATTTAAAACATCTACAAACGTATAAATAACAAAGTGATGTTCACTAACACGATTACTACTTACCACTTTTAAATCGTTTTTCGAAATGATCACTCTGAAGAATAACGATGAACTAGAGCAAGCTCTGGTTACGCGGGAAATTCAAATTTCGAATTGACACTGAATGAGGATATCATGAAACCGTTGCACTTCAGAAACTCGTTTGGGATGTTTGTAACATTTTCATCACGAGTAATGTCAGTATTAACATACGTGTCGATGTGAGCAATTTGCTCAACATTTTCCTTACATTATACACGAGACACACGTGACTTGATTTGGAGTCTGGCTCGTACTTTCTTCTGTACCAGTCGCTTGTGCTAGCCACGATCACCTCGCTTTCGAGGTCAATGTCTAGGTCTACGAGATCAGTAAATAACACACGAGAACTACTGATAGCAAGTATTGTTTCGACGATGTTCGACAATCGCATTTGTTTCTTGAAATAAACACGTAAAAGAACGCAATACATGTATTAAGTAGTGAAATTTGTTGTTTCTGTCAGTATTTGGTTTTAATGGATTAGTAGAGAGAAATTTCAATGGAATTCTACTATCTTCTCAGTGCACAACTACATGAGTTATTTAATCGTATATTCGAATTAAAATGAAATTTTATCTAAGCAATTATACTGATTGTAATTTTGTATTACGTTTTATGTAATTTACCTATTATTAGTAAAGTTACCTTAATTGAATAATAAATATCTAATTATTTGTTTAACAGTACAATAAAGACCTCGATTATTATATTTAAAGTAACCTAAGTTAAAAGACAAAATTTAGTATTATGAGAATATTTGTCGTATCTATCCTCTTCAAAAATTGTACTAAATTCTAAAACACTGTATATTATTATAAGAAAGAAAATTTCGTTTTCCTTCTGGAAAGATAAAGCGAAAAAATTTGAAGTATCTAGATAAAACCAATACTAACTCACGTTTAATTGTTTATATTTTTTTAACATATATATCTTTGATAAATTTTTGATAAAAAAGGAAGCACGAATCAATTGTTATCTATGTACTTTCAATCAAATCGATTGAAAAAAGATTTCACAATGGACTATCAATTTTGTTCTACTTTGTTTCGATTAATTGCACATCTCTGGTATCTCATTATACCTTCTTTTATTTTGAAAAGTTTTCATAATGAAAGTTGCTATGGCTAGTAAAAAAATACAGCAAATTAAAATTTATTACCAATTACTAATTCGAAATCATTATATATACACTAAATGGCTGAAATTTATTTTATACGATAAAAGATTTATAATGCAGTTAAATTGAAAACATAGCAATACCTGTAATATTTTCTACATTAAAAAAATTTCGAGAATTTACAACAGGAAAAGTAGCATCTGACCATTTATAACTGAGAAGCAAATAATTTTTAATTACTTATATATTTAATACTTAAATAATTCTAATTAATTATTAATAAACATATATTAATGGCTATTGCATAATTTTCACGTTCACAAGCTTCCTTACTCCGTGTAATATAAATAATGTTATGAAACGAGCTATCATTCTCATGAAAAGATTAATTTAAATTCTTGATTGCGTTTTTTAAATAACGTAACTTGACCATGAAATTCGAACAGATAAAAATAAAGTGTTCACATATTTTTCTGCAATCATGGTCAGCGATAAAGAGTAAGTAAAACTATCGGTTGCTCACGGATATGACATTGTAGCGTCTAAGCTTGCGATGAATCAACGTACAATAATGATCGCAATGAATCAATGTTTCGTTTTTTCTTTTTTCAATTGATCCTTCTTTTTCCACCAGTCGATTTCTCCGCGGATCAATTTGCATTTCCAACACTGAATCGGTTAAGACTGAAGAAGCAGCGAAAGTGAAATCTCCCCGATGCAACAAGCATAGCGAGATACCACACGCATCTAATTCCAAACGCGATTTGTTTAACCTGCAGATTACAGTGTTTCTATTCGAATGGCCGAACAACGAAAGTTACTTAAAGAAAGAAAAAGAGCTTAGATAACCCGAGTGTTTGTGTATAAATGTACTACAGGTTTCGAATCTTTACCAGCTCAACTATCAAAACAAATTCTTTACCGTTAGAACAACAAGCCTCTAAATTAATACGTCAGAAATATTAATTATTTCATATTTTTTCGAAAATCAAGAAATTTTTTTTTAAATTGAGGGTTAAATAGGAAATTTATGGAGTAGTATAGCTTTGGTATTCTTAGCTACTTGGGAACTTCATTTAACTCCTGTTATGACTTTTAGGTTTGCATTTGTTTCATATACAACCAAAATATACACGTTTTTCCAATTTTCTATTTTTTTTTAATATTTAGTTAAAATATTTATACATTATTATTTAAGTGAAACAGTATTTATATTTTTTTATTTAAAATCGTATTATTTGAAAATATACTTTCTTCAAACTTAAATACATCGAATTCATAGCCAAAACAAAAATTACAAATTAAAATTATGACACTTTCAAATACTTTGAAATTGAACAATTTCCATTGGAATAACAAATTTTTTACGATTATTACGTTTTACCAGTAAAAGATACTATTTGTCCAGTAAAGCTAGACCACGCGATATCAATTATGTAAAGTAAAATTTATTTTACGAAGGTCACTGAAACAGGAAAAAGAGTGCATACTCTGCAGTTACATAAATGGATAACTCGTAATTCTTATCTGCAAATTCACGATTATTATTACTTCATTATGAGCAAAATAGTGAAATACAAAGCTAAAACATTCGATATTCGATGAACGCTAAATATATTATTTAAGTTGGTTAATTATTTCTTATAATAATTATATGTATCTAACAACTGAATCATTACATCCCAACTAAACACGAGGCAGAGAAAGTTTTACGCGAAGGATTTCGTGATGAGCAAAGCACCTTTTTCAAGAAAATATTTCTCTTTTTAACAAGGAATAATTCAATAACGTGTATTTATTCGACGACCAATAAATATTTCCATTCACGATTGAAATCTGTGAACATTCGGATTACAAAAGATCGTGTAAAAATAAAAATAAAAATTGTAGATCCTTCTGTAATTATTAACATATTGACTTCGATACGAATTTTATGTACTCCAATGCTCAAGCACTTTCTGTTTCAATTCACGTAATATAAGCATGTTATTAACCTCAACCGCTATTCTCGAACCATAAGTGATTACGATTTAGGTGACTTACTTAATCTTAAAATATTTAATATCGTTTTGTATCCCATATTTTACTCAACAAAGATAATCAATGACTTTTATCAATGAAAAATAGGATGCAAAGAGAAATTAGATATCCTAACCTAAATTGTCACGATCATCTGCGACTCCATCGTAGGTTAGAATATACATTTTGTTTCTTCTATTGTGATAGAAATTATTAACGAGTCAAAATAGATGCATAAATTAAAATTTATTACACAATTTTAACCAAATCTATCTATCAATGTGATTTACTTTATTAGTTTATAATAAAGTTAAAAATTATTCGTTAACATCGAGATGAACGAAAGTTGAATTTAAAATAAATTCAAGTATTAATATCAATTTTGCAGGAGGTATTGATATTGCGTTTATATGTTCTACCTGAACTACTTATTCAACCCTGACAATATTCTATCGTGCTAGTTCGTCAAGCATGAACTCGCCTTAACCCCTTGCACTAAAATGACGAGTCTAACTCGTTACGAGTCCTTCACGTCAAATCTCACGCTGGTAAGCTACACTAATCGTCGTAACTATGTTTGATGCATTTTAACGTGCAGGAAATTCGAAATATTTCTACAATTTTTATCTAACTTCATCGTTAATAAGATAGCTATACAGTGATTAACCAAAATGAAATGCTACTTCGATGCATACCTTTTCGTAATTAAATCGCAGTGTATGGGGTTAATAGTAAACGAGGAAGAAAAGTGCCGGAGACTTGTAGCGTAGTAACAAAAACCGAGACTTTTGAAGCACGTGAGTATTCTCGAAGTGCATGTATCGATGTTATTTCTCTCTTTATTTATTCCGTATATTTATCTCGTGGACAGTAAAAAAAATGTAACTTCGTGAAAGGAAAGTCCTAAATTTTGCGAAGATTTCTTCTTAATCGAGCTGGTTACGCGCATCTTTATTGAGATTTAAACTTTCCCTGACAAAATGAAGGAGAATGTTCGAATAACATTCGATGTCATATTACAGGCAGATACACGTAACACGTTCAGTCAAAGCAATTTTTCATCCAACAATATTTAAACAATTTTTGGTAAATAATTATAAATATACTTACTCTCGTTTCAATAAACTATTATACCGAAGTTCATGTTTTTCGTATAGTCCGTAACTTGCAATATTTACGTAACTTAGCCTATATAGTTGAATATCTAACACACTTATTACCCCATTTCGATCTCCACGCTGATTCACTGGGTACAACGAACCCCCCAGACCACCATTACGAACGTCTTAACCTTATTCCGTCTAACCTCATAACGTTCCTTTCCCAGAAAATTACTCACCGTCCCTTTTTTAATGCGAACTCATGTCAGGAACTTAGACCCAGTGGTGCTTTCGCGTCAAGGACCTCGCAGGCACACGAACATCATCGTTGTCGTCAAATTTTCACCGTTTCGTCGGCTCCTCCGTGATCGATTGTTCCGAATTCAACACAGCAACTCCTTACTATATAGTAACATATACTCCAAACACATTTAACTAATTTTTCAAACTAATACGAGCCACTGTGCACGATTCATCGGTGTATCTCGACGATAAGACGACAGAAGCTGTTTCAGGCTTCTCGAGCGCGGACGATGCAGGCGCCGGTCGGCCGCCATCACAGAAATCAATACGACCACTAAGGGGAGCTTACGTCGTATGGGATATTCAACGTAACTCATTGTTTCATGGTTAACCGTTGTTCCGTCACTACGTCCAATTTGTTTATGGATTTATAATTCCCAGTTTTTACGAAATTTGTGATATTTGCCTTTCAAATTTCAATCGTACGCGTCCACTCTTCCTGGTTACTCCGGATTTATATGCATACGTTCAAATATATATATATATATATAGAGAGAGATACGTAGTAATAGTACTACGATAGTAGATAGTAAAAATAGAGTGAACCGAAGTAGCAAGGAATTTTATTAAATTCTTAAATTCTTAAATATTATTAAAATATTAAAAAGTGAGATCAATTGTTAACTTAATTTATATGCGAGTCTTTCTATTCTGTGAAAATTTGTATGGATTAAATTTTGTGTAATCCTCGTGGAAAATTAGATAGGAATTATCGTGTTTTTAAAACGTGTCGTGCACTAGTAAATGTGCTATTCTTTTCTCACCATTTGTTCACCACAAATATTACGGCATAGATTGTATGTACTCGAGTAGATGAGTTTACATTAAAATATAAGGATATCCGCTTCGTTTGCACTACGGAAGTTTAATAAACGTAAAAGACAGGAATTGCAACGTGAAAGAACAAAAGTACGTGGATTACGTTCGACAAATAATTGTTCGTAAATATTCACTGGCAAGTGTTCATTAATGCATATCCACTTCCTGATCGTGGTCCTCCTTTAAACTTTGCTGTTTCGTAATTTCGGCTTTGGTTAGTTATACAAGTTGGGCACGATTTCTACAATAATTGGCCCATTCGAGAGAACGATGTGCTTTTTGTTTTGAAGGAAAATAAGTGGCAAGAAGTTAACTTGACAGCATAAAAATCAAGACACGTGATGGGTGTCGTAACGAAATCAGGAAGAGCTGGTTCTTTCACGAATGTGATTTAAAATGACAGAATTGATCCTAACTGAGTAGGTTCATAAATAGAATGCACGAATTGTGATTTGATTTTATCAATAGAAAATAATATTTAACAAGTCTATTGCGTATAGAAAGTATTTGCATATATTAATGTTCATCAGTTACCTATATTTTGTATTTTAATTCTATGCAACAAATGTAATTAAAGCGACAAGGGTAACAGAAGCTACTAAAATGATAGTAACTTCGAGACGAATAAAAGTAAAAATTCGTGCATTAATTTACCATGATCAAAACGTTTGAAACGATCGAAACGCTTGAAAGGTCGAAGTTCTGAAAGGTGATCCTCGTTGAAAAAAGTCACGCTATATATTCGAACACGAATTTACATGTAACAGAAGAAGCTAGCACTTTGCATAAAGAAAGATTTAGGATTACGTTACGCTTTCTCGAACTATTCGTACTTAAAAGCTACTTATATTGTATACAGTTGTATTAAATGTCCGTAATGAGATTCTACTCTTTTTCGGTTGAATTGTATTCCATTCGATTGAATTTCAACAATCGTTCCTTTTAGAAGTTTGAGAATAACGTTGCTTCGAAATGCAGTACATGACAATACTTCTTTGTAACAGACAGTACTTCATGCATATTAAAAATGTATGTATATTTATGTATTTTTCTCGTTGCCATTCTTTTCAAAGAATTCAACGATTTCGACAGCGTATAATGATACGATTTCTATGATAAAGCGAACAAAATTGTTCGCAAATAAATTCGCAAGCACAACAAATGTTACTTCGTATATAAGTAAGGTTAAGTTTACGATAAATACGTATATAGCTTTGCAGTGATTTTCAAAGTGATTTTTAAGAGGATTTAAGATAGTACTTCCGTGGTTAAAGAGATTTTTGTCAATCTATTAATTGTAAAGTGAAACTTCTGCAGTTGCAGCAAAATCGAGTGAACGAGGGGACACAAAAGAGAGCACCCTTACCGAGGATACAGTATAAAAATGGTAGGTGTCGGCACGTTTGGCTTTCTTCTATCTGTGCGCATGCGCATTGAACACATCGCTACTAGTTGGTAGAACAGAATTGTACTTTCGTACGATATATCTTATATTTTGTGCATCAGTACATACGCTTTTCCTGTACCCCAAAAATGAAAAATCCCCAGACTTCATTGCCATACCTCTTTGTCAATGCAGCAAGTACAAACAAAACAAAATAATAGCAGAGTATTTGCAAAAATATCTGCATCCAACAGCCCCTCAATAGTAATCTTCGTAGCTCGATATGAAAGTTAGATTAGGTTATCTTTGAATTTATCTTAACGACATTGTAATTAACGTTGTAAAGATGTTCAACTAGAAAAGTAATACGGTACTTGTAATTGTAACTTCTTAGTATAAATAGTTCTTATTACTACAAACAAGAAATTATTTTAATAACCATATCGAAAGAGACAACTGGTATTTTTAATCATACATAACCTAGCAAAAAAATGAAACATTTAAAACAATTTAGTTCGCCAGATGCGGCAGATTAAATGACATTGCTACCTGTTTTAGCATCAGTGAAATCACGTATCACTTACTCGAAAGTAAGTTAGGTTTTTTCGATTTCCACAATTGCGTCATTTCTTATTCAGAAATCGAGAGAAACTCGTGATCGTTGTCCTTCGTAAGTTATGATTAACTGCATCTGTAGACTGACTTAAAAAGAACATAACCTAATCGTCGTCTCAAATTTTTATCAACATATGTAATATAATATACAATTCGATCTAGAATAAAGATTGAGAATAAGTTTTATCGAAAGCAAAATAATTATAGAAATTATTTTAATTAACAAATTGTGAGTAGTTTATATATAATTGCGACAGTGTGCAGATTATAATTAGATGCTTCGATGATACAGCGATATCTGTTAGATAGAGAAAGTGAATGCGATTCTATGGCAGGTCTCGTTTCAATTGATCTACGCGACTGTCAGTGAAATTAAAAACCTCGTAAAATGTTATATCGTTGCAATCAGGAAAACAAAGGTACCGTTTTCTGCAATTAATAAGAACAAATATTATCTCTAACTAGAATTCTCGAATTATCCTGAAGTGTCGATAGGAAATTACGGTGGAGGCGTTTTTGTTGGCTAAAGAGATTTCTCCACGGGTGCGTTACCGATAAACCAATGTTACTTCCGGTTTCTGCGAACGCTAGGTAGAAAAATATCGATGCCAGCTGACGGCATTGATATTTTCACGGGAAGAAAAAGAATGGAAGAGTGTGTAAGTGCTCGAACGTGAGCCTTTTACGTCCGAGAAGAGTACCGTAAATGGGACAAGCTAAACGGCCACACAACCATGACTTTCTACTTGTCGTTGTGGCTTTTTGTCGGGTAACCGGTCGTGCTTTTGCTTCCGCCTACGCCATTGTCTAAAACATTTCTTTATAAGAAAATTGAGTAAATTTACTGTTTAACGTGGCTTTAAAACAACGCAAGGTATTCAAGAAAGTGATACCTGTGATTTTGCACTGATTGCTGTCCGAGAGATTTCGCTTGAACTTATTAATGGAGGATAGTCTCTATATTGATAGATTTTTATGAGAATGAAAAATTTTTAGTCCTGAAAACGTGTATTTATTGATTTTGAAAAATTCTTTAATATAATTATATAAATATAAATATTCTGAATTAAATATTAAATATTAAAATACTAATTTTATTGTTATTTCAATATTAAATATATATTAATTTATTATTAATTTTATTAAATTTATTATTTATTTTAATTTTATTATTAATTCAATATCAAGTATAATAATGATTCTATGTAATATAAATGTATGTACACTGAATTTTTACTTTAGCATTTGCAAAGTAGGAAATACATATTTTTATATTTATAAAATATATAAATGTTAATTATAAAATATTTTATACATACAATTTATCAATATATATATATGACGTTTGTATACGTAAAAGCATGTATTATCCAAGTTATTATATAATATATATAGGTATTATTATATATGACATAAAATCGAAAAAGTGAATACAGGAATAAATACGTTAGATATTCAGTCAATTACCATTACACGCAAATTTAATAGTCTGACTGAGAATCTCGGCTAATAATAGCCAATTTTCCATTCATGTTCTCTTAATTGGATCGGTAATATAGTAATACAAAATTGATTACTATCCCTGATTGAAAACGAATATATATTCATTAAGAATTGGTAAGAAAAAGTTGGGAAAAATTATTAGTAGATTATATCTTCATAAGAAATAGTTTCATTAATAAATTGTATTTACTTTATTAAGATTCTTTTTTCTTCTAAATTTATTTCCCTTCGTGTAACAATTTCGTTACCAAATTTCTATTCTTCCAATAAATAAATAAATATATATATAAATATATATAAAACGATTGTTTCTCCAATTTTCAAGTGACACCATAGTCGTATAAAAAATTACATAGAAAATTGCAATTATTAAAAAACCAAAATAAAAATTTATCTTATAAATGAAAATTTTCATCGTGTATAGAGCCATAATTTTTAAGGAAAATAATATTATCAAATGAGTGAAGTACTTCTAAGTTCTTTAAGTGAAGTACTTTCGTTTTCTTCACGTTTCATATTTGATGCAAATTTTTAATGAAACTTTTATAAACTTTTTTGTTGAATTATATTTTAGATTTTCTTTTTTTTAAATAAATCTCATTGGAAAATTTGGCGAGAGAACATCTGGGACACCCTGTATATAATTACTGTGTATAATTTCACGATGCGATATAATGATCAGAAAATGAAATGCCATAGTTATCGCACGTGAAATTTATAGGGTTTATGTGAAAAATCGAGGTCGCTGCACACACGTGTACAGCAGTGGTAGTGATTGCAATGCT